TATATATATATAGAGCTAGAGCCAAGTGCAGACACTGCAGTGCAGCCAACAGCCACTAGAGGCTGGCTCCAAAACAGAGTCAGTCTCCACAGACTCCTGTGTTAACATGCAGAAATAAACATGTTTACAGCCTCGGTCAGAAAACAGTTTTGGTCTCTGTAGCTAATTTCGATGTTCATGACAACTGAACAGGAGGTGAATTTTTATATGACTCTCCTGTTTACATTTGACCAAGACCCAAAGTTACCCATAGTTAAGGGTGAGGCTGCTTGAGTGACACGCTGTCTGTAAAGCATCATCACAGTCTGTGAGTCAGGTCCACCCCTCACTGCTCCCCAGCTCCAGCCTCTTGTCCACATATGGTCACTTCTGGCTCCAAAAAACCAATATGGCGACGGTGGAAATGCTGAACTTGAGGCTTCAAAACAGGGGTCCACAAACCAGTGAGTGATGTCATCATGGCTTTGTCTGTTATTTATACAGTCCATGGCCAGGACACAGATAACCTAGCTTAGCTTAACTTCACATGAGCACTGGAGCTGAATGGTTAGAGGGGATAAATATACAAACATGGCATTCCATTGACTCTGAGGCACCTTTTGACAGGGTCAGGCCAGCTGTTTACGATGCTAAGCTAAGCTTATTTTCACCTGGCTCCTGCAATTAGAATTCAGTAGGGAGGGGGCGTCGGGGGCGTCGGTGGCTTGGTGGGTGGAGCGGGGGCCCCATGTGCAGGGCTGTTGCCGCGGGGGCCCAGGTTCGGCTCCGGCCTGTGGCCGTTTCCTGCATGTCACTCCCTCTCTCTCTCCCCCTCTCACACTTGTCTGTCCTGTCGATTAAAGGCTAAAATGCCCAAAAAAAATCAGAAAAAAAGAAAAAAGAATTCAGTAGGGATGCACAATATTGGATTTTTTGTGGCTACCCGATATGCCAACATAACAGCTCATTTGGCCCGATAACCGATACCAATGTGGATATATCTATTTTTTTTTCCTCCACATAATTTTAGTCATCACGTAGTCTTTTCTGTCGTGGCATTAACATCATATTATGCATACATACTCTTATTGTGTCAACCCACCAGCAGATGGAGACATCAAATACTTTTCAATGTATGTGATATTCATTCATTGTGCAAAATAAGAAAAAGCATGTTAATCGATTCTGATGACGTACCTAATTTATTGGCATGTTGGCTGATTCCAGTGGTTCATTTTGAAGCCAACGTCAGCTGATACTGATAACGTGCCAGTATTATTGTGCAACTCCTTTCATCTAACTCTTGGCAAGAAAAGTGCATTTTCTAAAATGTGTAACTGTTCTTGAAGATGATAGTATTAAGACTTTGTTACTGATTTCATGTGGCTGTTATGTTTTATTTTGAGTCTATCATCACACACAAGTTTGTGACCTAGTTTTTGTTTTTGGCTTAGTCTGAGACAATAGTTGGCAAAAATGTCAAATGACCTCAGTTTGTTTGTATTTAGCTTGAGCTGATTTGTTTAGTGCACTTGCAGAGAAAATCTATTGAATGTTTGTCACTTGTTGACAGTTAGGAACATCTGGATCTTTTGTTTGCATAAGTATGATACGTTTTTCAATTTATTTTGAGTGATCTGGTTCAGTGGAAGCATGTAAATTTTGATTAAAAGAGGCCCAAGGATTGAGCCCTGGGGAATGCCTATAAATGATAAGAGTTCCTAGTCACTCAAGTTAATTGATGGTCATTCATTTGTGTCCTTAATGCAGATGTATCTTATCATCTTTTTCTGACTTCCTGCATGAATGACAACCAAATCATCTGTTGCTGTGGCCCTTCATTGCTCTTAAATTGATGTTTGACTCAATGAATACAAATGTGAGAATACAGAAAGTTCTCATAGTTTTATGGAGGTTTTTTGTACCAAATATATATGGCAGCAAGTCACTCTTTGAGAAGGGCCCCCTCTTGTACATGGGACCTTCATCTGCGAGCTGCACCTGATGATGGTGCAAAGAATTGTAATGACCTGAGAAAGTATAGTAAACTGCTCTGAGACTAAATGACTTTTGCTGTTTGCTGTCAAGCTCCCGAGAAGTTTTTTTTCTTTTAAATCCTGGAAGTCCGAGTTCTTTTTAGTGCCTCACATACTGTACTGTTCAAACATGGTGACATGTCACGGTTGCTGAATGTAGAAGTGATTAATCCTGGTAAATCCTGACTGCACGAATCTGCATCAGATAGTATGCACATGTAAGAATGCTTTAGATTAATGTGCTTAGGTTTATGTGATTTATTTGTTATCAGCGTGTCTGTTTCCCCCGTGAGGCTCGATGTTACGGATATATCTGGAGTTTGTTAATCTCACTCGGGACCTGAGGCTCAGTAAATGGTAGTCAGAAAGTACATGACCCATTTTGGCTCTCGTAGTTTCATGGTACGCAAAGAACAACTTGATCCTTGTATCCTGAAACTGCACAAGTGAATGGCAGTTTTCTGTCAGGACGTCAGCACTGTCTTTGCGCCTACAGGCCAAGTTGGTGCAGGGAGATATCACAGCTCCAGCTGAAGAGGTGTAGCTGCAGCTGACTTCTCAATAGGTGTTGTTACGTCTTTGTCTCTCCTTCTGTTTGTCAACCCCACCCTTAGCTTGTAACTGAAAGCCATGTCATGTGTCAACACTGCACCTTTGGCAGTTTGGATCAAGTAATTGTTGCATAACCTTAAAGCAGATTGCTGCAGCTCGATCTACAAAGAGGAGCCGTCAAATCAGAAAACAGGTTGATCTGCAGCCTGTCACTGCCTGAGTATCTTGCTCCAGGTTTATTATAAAGCATAAATCGCTGCAGTCATGTAAGTGCACTATAACCTGTTTGTTTTGCTTGGCTGACGGCGGTAACCGACGATGCTGGCACACCGAACGGATTTTGTGTCAAGCTATCTTGTACCTCGCTCGCCCACACTCAGACTGCAGGCAGAGGAGCTGATACAGATCAATGAAAAAGGTATTACTGCAGCTAATGCCCAGCAGAGTGGACTTGGCAGAGGCATCAGAAATCCCCTGGAGGACATTTACCCCAAAAATTACTGGAATTGTGCCTTAGTGGAGCTCTGAGTGACAAAACAAAAGCTGTTATGCACTTTAACAGATAAAACCAACCAATTATTTGTAAGTATAAAAACATTAAAGTGTGTGTGTGTGTGCGTGTGTGTGTGTGTGTGTGTGCGCGCAAGGCCAGGTGGTTGTTTATTTCCCCTCACGCGCCTGAGAGCCGGAGCACCAGAGCCCAGTGAGGCGGAACATCCCGGTAATGAGTTCTAACCTGTATCATAAGAAGCAGAACAGCAGGGGCAATTAGTCATATTTAGAGGGTAGAGGCTCCAACATGACGCCTCACCGCCGGCCACACAGGTAATTGGTGATATTCCCTCCATGACCTTGGCAGCTTGCATCACCTGGTTTGTGTGAAGGTTGCAGGTTCCTTCTGGCTCACAGATTTAGGAATAATAAACTACACAAAACAAATGATTTAGACAGTTTGCTGTGTTGCCAGATGTAAGTATGAATAATTATAAGCCATTATTTAACCTTTATTTATTCAAATTATAAATTCTCTTTTGAGTGATGACCTGGCCAAGACGGCAGCCAAGTTACGTCAGGTACACGTCGATTACATACATACATTAAGGTACAAAACAACACATCATGATAATAAGTAATAGCCCTTTGTGTGATCAATGAATCTTAATAAAGTCTGCACCAGCAAGGACCACGCTACAACAATATGTTGTTTAAATGTTTCATTGTAATTCAAGAGGTGTTGAGGACTGGTGAATGGATCAAAGTGAGAATGACGTCTTCTTTTAGGTTGATCTGGGAGGATGTACTGGAGATCGAGCAGAGGGAGACTCAGTGTGTGGGGGTTCAGTCTCAGGCTGATTACAGGCTCCCCAGATGGTCCCTAGAATGAGACGTGGGAGAGGTTTGCACCATACTGAATAAGAAGAGATGAGGGGAGAAGAGAAGAGGGGAGAAGGAATGTTGGTAGGGATGAGGTAGGGAGGATGATGGATGAAGGGAAGGGAAAGAGAGGGTGGATCTGGGTCGAGAAAATCTGAGACAACCAGAGCAGGTTAACAAATTAACTTCACATCATTTCAGTTTTTGTTGTTATAGTAAAATAACTGGCCA